GTTACAGTACATCAACAAATATGGATCATGCTACAGCCAAATTTGACGAAATCAGTGAATCATAATTCCCTTAATTAAGCCACAAAGCATTAAAACAAACACAATCATAAAACCCTGACTCACGTGTATCACACATTGCAGGTCCGGAATCATAATTGCCAGCATCCAAGCAAGTGATTGTTTTTGTTGTAGATCCATCAGCCATAGTGTAGCCGCTGTTACAATTGTAGATTACTTGTGTACCAAAGTCTACTGGGGCAATGACACCTGGGTAGTTGTTCGATGCTCTGGAACCATCCATCGGCAAATCACAGCCAGCTGAAATTGGAAAACGGAAAAATACATATCACTAAATTCTAAAATTTAATTCTCTATGTAATATAAAAGTGCTTCACATTTTCATACTATAATGTCTGCTTATGGCATTATTGAAACAAAATCAAAATTGCTTAGAGAGAGGAAATTAAATGTGTAACCAGTGATGAAAATGCTGTACAAATAACAAGTTTTCACAATTTTTTAAATGTTAGAAATAAGTAGCTCATGGAACCGACATCTATCTGCGAATGGCATTTGCCTTATCTTCATGGGAACAAGAGCAGTGACAAAATACACACAGAAATGATATTTTGATATTTGTTAATATTTCAACTTCTATTAAGCCAAGTGAATTCATGGCATCTTATCATCTGCAATAATTTAAACAGAAGCCAAATTGCAAAACAACAAGAATGAAACAAACAGCATACGTTGATCACACTGCGGTGGGGTGTCGTCGTAAGTGCCATCGGGCAAACATTCAATGGTCTTCTCCTTCACTCCAGAGACATCAAAGAATGGCATTCTACAAGTAAATGTAATGAATGTACCAACAGGCACAGGATCGTCTCCCTGGTAATTATGTTGACGATTCACATCATCATCCATTGGTATTGGACACCCAGGCTCTGGAATTCAAAATAATATATTTTTCATTTTGCAGGTAGGGAGGTACATCAGTTATGTACATATGACAAGGAAAAGAACAGTGCTATTTCTGTTTATGCTAAAACAATGCTTAATTTTACTTGTTATCTAACACCCCATTTCCATAGATTTATAGATCGATCTATCCCTGTGGGGAGTCTCACTAGATTACTGTCAGCTTGGCCGGCTTAAGCGGCTGTCCCGCCTACTAAAAGCTGTAAGGGGGTAATTAACTATGGTGCCCGCTCAGCTGACTGCAATTTAGCGTGAACCCCCAGGGAGTTAGGTCGATCTAAATCTTAATCTCTAGATCAATCTAAATCTCTGGGAAAGCACCCTAAGAGCAACTATAACATGTATAATAGTTATATCCACAAGCTATATGCAGTGTTGCACAGCAAACATACAAAAGCACAGAATAAACATTTAATTATACCTTAATGGTTGTGAATGATATGGGTATAAGAGAACAACTAAATGAATTGCCACAAATAAAAAAAAAGTTCAAAAATCGTCGTTGATATCCATCCTGTGTTGTTTGTGTAGTAGTGATCAGATCATGGCCCTTCACTAAGAAATCTTGTGCTCAGTGAATCATAACTATTAATTAAGCCACAAATTCAGTAAAACAAACGCAATCATAAAACTCTGACTCACGTGTATCACACATTGCAGGTCCGGAATCATAATTGCCAGTATCCAAACAAGTTATTGTTTTTGTTGTAGATCCATCAGCCATAGTGTAGCCGCTGTTACAAGTGTAGGTTACTTGTGTATCAATGTCTACCGGGGCACTGACACCTGGGTAGTTGTTCGATGCTCTGGAACCATCCATTGGCAAATCACAGCCAGCTGAAATTGGAAAACGAAAAAATACATATCACTAAATTCTAAAATTTAGTTCTCTATTTAATATAAAAGTGCTTCGCATTTTCATACTATAACTTTTGCTTATGGCATTATTGAAACAAAATCAAAATTGCTTAGAGACAGGAAATTAAATGTGTAACCAGTGATGAAAATGCTGTACAAATAACAAGTTTTCACAATTTTTTAAATGTTAGAAATAAGTAGCTCATGGAACGGACATCTATCTGGCACATGGCATTTGCCTTATCTTCATGGGAACAAGAGCAGTGACAGAATACACACAGAAATGATATTTTGGTATTTGTTAATATTTCAACTTCTATTAAGCCAAGTGAATTCATGGCATCTTATCATCTGCAATAATTTAAACAGAAGCCAAATTGCAAAACAACAAGAATGAAACAAATAGCATACGTTGATCACACTGTGGAGGGGTGTCGTCATAAGTGCCATCGGGCAAACATTCGATGGTCTTCTCCTTCACTCCAGAGACATCAAAGAATGGCATTCTACAAGTAAATGTAATGAATGTACCAACAGGCACAGGATCGTCTCCCTGGTAATTATGTTGACGATTCACATCATCATCCATAGGTATTGGACACCCAGGTTCTGGAATTCAAAAATATATATATATTTTTTATTTTTCAGGTAGGGAGGTACATCAGTTATGTACATATGCCAAGAAAAAGAACATTGGTATTTCTGTTTATGCTAAAACAATGCTTAATTTTACTTGTAATCTAAGAGCAACTATAACATGTATAATAGTTTTTGTATTTACCAGTAAAAATGTAAGCACATACTATACATACATCATACTAACTAGTCTGTATATCAACTGATCTTATTAGAAAAGAATATAAAGAGGACATTTTCTGAGTTATATCCACAAGCTATATGCAGTGTTGCACAGCAAACATACAAAAGCACAGAATAAACATTTAATTATACCTTAATGGTTGTGAATAATATGGGTATAAGAGAACAACTAAATGAATTGCCACAAATAAAAAAAGTTCATAAATCGTCGTTGATATCCATCCTGTGTTGTTTGTGTAGTAGTGATCAGATTATGGCCCTTCAGCTAGTAAGAAATCTTGTGCTCAGTGAATCATAACTCCATTAATTAAGCCACAAATTCAGTAAAACAATCACAATCATAAAACCCTGACTCACGTGTATCACACATTGCAGGTCCGGAATCATAATTGCCAGTATCCAAGCAAGTTATTGTTTTTGTTGTAGATCCATCAGCCATAGTGTAGCCGCTGTTACAAGTGTAGGTTACTTGTATACCAAAGTCTACTGGGGCACTGACACCTGGGTAGTTGTTCGATGCTCTGGAACCATCCATTGGCAAATCACAGCCAGCTGAAATTGGAAAACGAAAAAATACATATCACTAAATTCTAAAATTTAGTTCTCTATTTAATATAAAAGTGCTTTGCATTTTCATACTATAACGTCTGCTTATGGCATTATTGAAACAAAATCAAAATTGCTTAGAGAGAGGAAATTAAATGTGTAACCAGTGATGAAAATGCTGTACAAATTACAAGTTTTCACAATTTTTTAAATAAGTAGCTCATGGAACCGACATCTAACTGGCACATGATATTTGCCTTATCTTCATGGGAACAAGAGCAGTGACAGAATACACACAGAAATGATATTTTGGTATTTGTTAATATTTCAACTTCTATTAAGCCAAGTGAATTCATGGTATCTTATCATCTGCGATAATTTAAACAGAAGCCAAATTGCAAAACAACAAGAATGAAACAAACAGCATACGTTGATCACACTGCGGTGGGGTGTCGTCGTATGTGCCATCGGGCAAACATTCAATGGTCTTCTCCTTCACTCCAGAGGCATCAAAGAATGGCTTTTTACAAGTAAATGTAATGAATGTACCAACAGGCACAGGATCGTCTCCCTGGTAATTATGTTGACGGTTCACATCATCATCCATAGGTATTGGACACCCAGGTTCTGGAATTCAAAAAAAAATTTTTTTTCATTTTGCAGGTAGGGAGGTACATCATTTATGTACATATGACAAGGAAAAGAACAGTGCTATTTCTGTTTATGCTAAAACAAAGCTTAATTGTACTTGTTATCTAAGAGCAACTATAACATGTATAATAGTTTTCGTATTTACCAGTAAAAATGTAAGCACATACTATACATACATCATACTAACTAGTCTGTCTATAAACTGATCTTATTAGAATAGAATATAAAGAGGACATTTTCTGAGTTATATCCACAAGCTATATGCAGTGTTGCACAGCAAACATACAAAAGCACAGAATAAACATTTAATTATACCTTAATGGTTGTGAAAAATATGGGTATAAGAGAACAACTAAATGAATTGCCACAAATAAAAAAAAGTTCATAAATCGTCGTTGATATCCATCCTGTGTTGTTTGTGTAGTAGTGATCAGATTATGGCCCTTCACTAAGAAATCTTGTGCTCAGTGAATCATAACTCCATTAATTAAGCCACAAATTCAGTAAAACAATCACAATCATAAAACGATGACTCACGTGTATCACACATTGCAGGTCCGGAATCATAATTGCCAGTATCCAAGCAAGTTATTGTTTTTGTTGTAGATCCATCAGCCATAGTGTAGCCGCTGTTACAAGTGTAGGTTACTTGTGTATCAATGTCTACCGGGGCACTGACACCTGGATAGTTGTTCGATGCTCTGGAACCATCCATTGGCAAATCACAGCCAGCTGAAATTGGAAAACGGAAAAATACATATCACTAAATTCTAAATTTTAATTCTCTATTTAATATAAAAGTGCTTAGCATTTTCATACTATAACTTTTGCTTATGGCATTATTGGAACAAAATAAAAATTGCTTAGAGAGAGGAAATTTAAATGTGTAATCAGTGATGAAAATGCTGTACAAATAACAAGTTTTCACAATTTTTTAAATGTTAGAAATAAGTTGCTCATAGAACCGACATCTATCTGGCACATGGCATTTGCCTTATCTTCATGGGAACAAGAGCAGTGACAGAATACAAACAGAAATGATATTTTGGTATTTGTTAATATTTCAACTTCTATTAAGCCAAGAGAATTCATGGTATTTTATCATCTGCAATAATTTAAACAGAAGCCAAATTGCAAAACAACAAGAATGAAACAAACAGCATACGTTGATCACACTGTGGAGGGGTGTCATCGTATGTGCCATCGGGCAAACATTCAATGGTCTTCTCCTTCACTCCAGAGGCATCAAAGAATGGCTTTTTACAAGTAAATGTAATGAATGTACCAACAGGCACAGGATCGTCTCCCTGGTAATTATGTTGACGGTTCACATCATCATCCATAGGTATTGGACACCCAGGTTCTGAAATTCAAAAAAATATATATTTTTTTATTTTTCAGGTAGGGAGGTACATCAGTTATGTACATATGACAGGAAAAAGAACATTGGTACTTCTGTTTATGCTAAAACAATGCTTAATTTTACTTCTAATTTAAGAGCAACTATAACATGTATAATAGTTTTTGCATTTACCAGTAAAAATGTAAGCACATACTATACATACATCATACTAACTAGTCTGTCTATAAACTGATCTTATTAGAATAGAATATAAAGAGGACATTTTCTGAGTTATATCCACAAGCTATATGCAGTGTTGCACAGCAAACATACAAAAGCACAGAATAAACATTTAATTATACCTTAATGGTTGTGAATAATTTGGGTATAAGAGAACAACTAAACGAATAACCACAAATTAAAAAAGGTTCAAAAATCGTCGTTGATATCCATCCTGTGTTGTTTGTGTAGTAGTGATCAGATCATGGCCCTTCACTAAGAAATCTTGTGCTCAGTGAATCATAATTCCATTAATTAAGCCACAAATTCAGTAAAACAAACACAATCATAAAACCCTGACTCACGTGTATCACACATTGCAGGCCCGGAATCATAATTGCCAGTATCCAAGCAAGTTATTGTTTTTGTTGTAGATCCATCAGCCATAGTGTAGCCGCTGTTACAAGTGTAGGTTACTTGTGTATCAATGTCTACCGGGGCACTGACACCTGGATAGTTGTTCGATGCTCTGGACCCATCCATTGGCAAATCACAGCCAGCTGAAATTGGAAAACGAAAAAATACATATCACTAAATTCTAAAATTGAATTCTCTATGTAATATAAAAGTGCTTCGCATTTTCATACCATGACGTCTGCTTATGGCATTATTGAAACAAAATCAAAATTGCTTAGAGAGAGGAAATTAAATGTGTAACCAGTGATGAAAATGCTGTACAAATAACAAGTTTTCACAATTTTTTAAATGTTAGAAATAAGTTGCTCATAGAACCGACATCTTTCTGGCACATGGCATTTGCTTATCTTCATGGGAACAAGAGCAGTGACAGAATACAAACAGAAATGATATTTTGGTATTTGTTAATATTTCAACTTCTATTAAGCCAAGAGAATTCATGGTATTTTATCATCTGCAATAATTTAAACAGAAGCCAAATTGCAAAACAACAAGAATGAAACAAACAGCATACGTTGATCACACTGTGGAGGGGTGTCATCGTATGTGCCATCGGGCAAACATTCAATGGTCTTCTCCTTCAATCCAGAGGCATCAAAGAATGGCATACTACAAGTAAATGTAATGAATGTACCAACATCCACAGAACCGTCTCCCTGGTAATTATGTTGACGATTCTCACCATCCATAGGTTTTGGACACCCAGGTTCTGGAATTCAAAAATATATATTTTTTTCATTTTGCAGGTAGGGAGGTACATCAATTATGTACATATGACAAGGAAAAGAACAGTGCTATATTTCTGTTTATGCTATAACAATGCTTTATTTTACTTGTTATCTAAGAGCAACTATAACATGTATAATAGGTTTTGTATTTACCAGTAAAAGTGCTTTTGACTTTAAAAACAAGCACTTACGACAATTAGCTGGACCACTGTCATAAAGTCCAGTCTTCAGACACTTAATTGTCTTAATTGTTGTTCCATCATCCATGAGATTTCCAGCATTACAGGTATAGTTGACAAGTGTGTCTACTGTCACTGGTAAGCCATTAGTATAATCATGGATTGCATTTGTTCCATTCATTGGATGTGGGCATCCAGGACCTGGAAATAAAGTATGCCCAGCTCAGTAAAACATAACAAACATTAATAAGTTCAGATATTAGTTTAGGAAAAAAACAAAGTGGCAAAAGTGTCATATTATCATATTCTCATGAAAGTATTTTGAAATGTTGTATATTGGAGATCCTTCTTCAAGTGTCAAAGCTGACCTTTCATATACACCGTAGGTATTCATTGTCACCAAAAATCTGATATATCTTTTTTTTCTCTGATACTAGATCAGAATAAGGTGATATTATGGAGTGAACAGAGTCTGTCAGTAAATAATGGTATAACATTGGCCAGTGTCTGCCAATAGGTCAATTTCTTTAACTGGGAGTTGTTCATTGTGTCAAAGGTCTCTTAACAGTGGAGTTCACCAAAAATTTTCAGNAAAATATATATTTTTTTCATTTTGCAGGTAGGGAGGTACATCAATTATGTACATATGACAAGGAAAAGAACAGTGCTATATTTCTGTTTATGCTATAACAATGCTTTATTTTACTTGTTATCTAAGAGCAACTATAACATGTATAATAGGTTTTGTATTTACCAGTAAAAGTGCTTTTGACTTTAAAAACAAGCACTTACGACAATTAGCTGGACCACTGTCATAAAGTCCAGTCTTCAGACACTTAATTGTCTTAATTGTTGTTCCATCATCCATGAGATTTCCAGCATTACAGGTATAGTTGACAAGTGTGTCTACTGTCACTGGTAAGCCATTAGTATAATCATGGATTGCATTTGTTCCATTCATTGGATGTGGGCATCCAGGACCTGGAAATAAAGTATGCCCACCTCAGCAAAACATAACAAACATTAATAAGTTCAGATATTAGTTTAGGAAAAATAAAGTGGCAAAAGTGTCATATTATCATATTCTCATGAAAGTATTTTGAAATGTTGTATATTGGAGGTCCTTCTTCAAGTGTCAAGGCTGACCTTTCAT